AATTGGGTAGAAATATTTTTTAAACTTATCTAGCATAGATTCAACAACAGAAGTATATCCTTCTTTCTTCTTCAAATTATGTAGTAAAAGAGAAATTTCAGCAATATGAACTAAACCATTTGCAATAGTAGGATAATAAGCTCCAGAAAACTCAAGTGTAGCCACATAAAATTTTTGTAAAAATTTTACAACATCTTCAATGACATCCCAAGTTTTAGATGTTAACAAACGGCTAGGATCGGTACAATAAGAATTAGCAACTTCAGTTATAGGCATTCTATATTTATAACAATATTTTAAGAATAAATAAGTATAATTTCACCTAGTAACTATTTCTTCGGGCATGAATCTTGGTTTTAGTCCATAGTGTAGATATTTTTCTTTAAATGCATTTAATCTAGCATTTCTATTATTTCCTTGAATTACACCAACAACTCTTCTAACTAAAGTGATATCATCTCTAAATAATTCAAGACCACACTTCACAATCAAATTATAAATATGACATGCACATCTAACATGAAATATTTCAGGAAGTGGTGGGTGTAGATGTAATTTTAATATTGTAATAGCCGCATTGTTGTTAGAAGCATTATCAGATGACACACACAAAACTTTTTCTGCAAGATTATAAAATATAGTAACTTCATGGATAATATTACTTATAAATGCACCGGTATGACTTTGATCTTCATCATATTTAAAAGCAATAATATATTTTTGTATACAAAAATTACCATATATCAAATGGCATATAACAGTCAAATAATCATTACCATTTACAGCACGACCAATATCAGAAGTAAGAGAAATTCTACAAGAAAGACTAGCGAACAAATAACGTATATATGTCTGATATCGTCTAAAAAGCCTAAAGATATCAGCTCTACAAGTACTTCTAGGAATACCTTTAAACAAAGGGTTATAAATTCTTTGAATATAAGTAACAAGATATGGTAAAGCAGCAAAACTAAAAGGTAAACAACCTAAAACAATCATTTTAGCTAATTCTTCCCGATATTTCTTAATATCATATTTACCCATTAACCCTCTAGTACCCGGGTTAAGTTTTTGTTGCCCATCTTCCTCATCTACTCCCCAATCAAGAGGGTGGTTGTCTACCATGTACCTACGAAGTTGACCCGTTCTCCCTCCCTTACCGGTCTCATGTTTATAAATATCCTTACAAATTCTACATCTTACATAATTTTTATCTTCTTCTAGTCTGTCAACAAAATTCCAACACTTACTTCTTAATCTTCGATTCTTCTTAATAGGGAGGGGATGCCTACTTGTATTACCACGACTTCCATCCCTAATATTTTGAGTTTGACTAGCATTACCAGGTGTAACTGGTGGTGTTTCAAGATTATCTGGTGATGGAAATAGAATATCATCTACATTATCATCTAATCATCATCTATACCATAATTTTCTTGAAGTCCCTCATAATCTACATTTAAATTTTCACGTGAACTTTCAGAAATATGTGTAAAGCTACTAGAAGAACAAGCACCACCTCTTGATCTTTTGAAAGTTTTCTTACTACCACCTATACTAGTGCACACTTTTTTGGCTGATCTAAATATATCCATTATGTAAATTAAATTAATAATTGTAAATAATAAAATAAATATACACCAAAGAAGAAAAAGATATAGAACGAGTGTACCGGGATTCCGGATGCCGCATTAAATTTGATATCAAAAATCAAACTTCAATTGGTAGATCGATACTCGATACTTGATACCACACTTCACTTGAATAGTTGATATTTGATAATAATAATTTTGTAATGGCTAAACTAAATATTTGATGAAACTTGAAGTAATAAGTAATTGAGAATTTAAGAACAATAATCAATAATATCAAGAGAGAATTAGAGTAGTAAGAGAGCGAATTGTGAGGAAAAATGAAGAAGAAAGGGGGCTATTTATAGTTTTTAAAAGGTTAAAATTATAATTTATCAAATATTAGGGATGTTGGGGCTATTTTCTTAAGGGGGTAGGCCGAAATGATCATTTCTGCAAAAAAGGGCCGTTGTCCAGCGGTCATATTTGAATTTGACCGTTGGCCAAAAAAAAATAAATTAAAAATTAAAAATTAAAAAACGTTAAAATTCGGGCTGAACCGGACTGTAGCCCGTTAACAACCCGTTAACGAGCTTAGCGGGTTTCGGTGCACCGGTATAAAAAATTATTAGTTTGAAACCCGCTCCCAGCCCGCCCCCCCCACGCTACAGTACCGGGCTGACTCGGGCTAAACCGGATTGTAAACGGGTCAGCCCGGCCCGATTAACAGGTATAGTATGAACTTCCAACATATTATACTGGACCAGTATATTATGCTGGAACTCCAGTATATTATGATTGTAACTTCAGTATATTATGTTAGAAGTTCACATGTAAACAATTCAAACTCCACTATATTATGGTGGAATATTTTTCGGATTTTGAACAGTGTTTTCGTTCAGATATATCTTTACATGAAAAGTGGCTAAATTTTCATTACTTTTGAAACTGTGGCTATTTTTCAATTATCACTTATAAATCTGTTATTTTTGAATTTTACCCAACAATTTGGGGTGAGATTTAATTGGACCTAGGTAATAAAATTGGGGGTGGGTTATTTTGTTCCTAAGCTGCCACGTGCCATTCCGTTTAAATTTGGGGTATATATGTGTCAAAGTATAAAAGTAGGGACGTAATTGGATGCATACTGAAACGAAGGATAAATTTAAACAATTTCAGATACTACAGGGATACATTTGACCATTTTCCGTGTAAATAAAATATAAGATCTATTGGTCCGTAGGGGCAGAGTTATGCAGGTAAAATGACGGTCATTTAAATTTTCGTCACTGTAAAATATTACAGTGTAGATAGCCTAGTACTATTACCTTTTATAATACATATTATATAGTATTAAACATTTCTAGTGAAACTTATTTATTTTTCTTCCTTAATTCTTATCAAAAGAGAAGTAGTGATCGAAACAACTTTCTAAAATCCAGGGGCATAAATGCAATAAGAGTAAAACTAAAGGGGGGCATGTACAAATTCATCTACTTAGCGCCATTTTCATCTCAATTTTTTGAAAAACTACGAATTGCTAAAAAAGGGCGGGTTAGGGCTTCGAATTGTTCATAACTTTTTTGGGGTTTCTATTTCAGCAAGTTATCAAGTGAGTCTGAGTCCAATTTGTTGAAAAGTTCACCTTTTTAAGTTAAAGATGGCAAATTACTATGACATTGATGATATCTTAGCTGAAGAAGAGGTAAATTCCTTGTTCTTGATTTTTTTAATGCTTTTTTTAATGCTTTTTTTAAGCTATTGGTGGAAAATTATATATGGGTTTGATAATCTTTTTGGAATTCAGCTTGTTCCAGCTGTGTTCTTGCAAACAGCTAATGAAGTTGGGATTTTTGACTGTGCTGATGACACTAACAAGGTAAATTTCTGAGGGAATTTTATGTTGAATCATTTTATTTTTCGTGTTTAAGTTATATACACTGATATTGTGATAATTTATTTATACCATTAGTGTAATTTAACATATTATAACATGTAACTTATCATTTATTCTAGGTTATGCGTATTAAATAAGTAGTTATATGTTATTACCTTTTAAAAGAAGGGTCGGATCTACCACATAACTTATGGGTTCAATGAACTCAATAACTTTTGACTAGACCTTGTATATGTATTAATAAATTTACGAAATATCTATAGATATTTGACTGTGAACCCAATTTTTATTGTATATTCACTTGAGATTGATGTAGTTAGGAACCTATAAACTCCAAACCCTGAGTCTCTGTTTAAATGACCTGATTGTGCAAATAAATTTTACACCTTCAATGTATAGAAATTTTCATGACCAAAATTTGATGGTTATTTTTTCCCTTCAAATACAGGTGGAAGCTGGTACACAAGTAGAAATGCCCTTTTGGCTTGCCCAGGAGTTATATGTAAGACAAGCGGTGTCTATCAAAGTTCCTCCATATTTTGACACGAAGTAAAGTTCTTAATGTTTCTCATCATGGTTTCATGTTTATGTTTATTTGAAACACGAGTGGAATTAGTTAAGTATGCAAAAAGTGGCAGTTAATGGAAGAGATGTTGGATATTTATGGACACTTTTTTTTTTTTTTTTAATCTTTAAAAATCAGTTAAAAGATTGTAGATTGGTTGATGTTCTCTTCAGACTGATGACAATCTGCTATATTCAGACTCTTTCATGTGCTGTCTAAAACTCGCCGTATCTCATATGATAATTCACATCAGTGATTTTTTTGTAGATCAATAATAGATCCAAGTTCCAGCATTTGATAATTTCCACCCATCTGTTTCTTGAATGTTAATTTACCAGAGCCAAAACGAGGAATGAGATAGGAGCTGATGCAGCACATGTGGATCTGAGAAGTTTATGCCCGTACTTTTATAATTTTGGATGCAAGATAGCACGTCTGTGAGTTCTTCTTGTCTTTGTTCCTTTCTGCCTGCAATTGTTATATTACCTCCCAAAACCCCAAGTAGGGGAAGCTGATGTAGATTTATTGATCTTATATCGCAATAGTGACCAATTAATGTGAGAAATGATTGTGCTCATGTTAAAAAGGAGTGGATCAGAACGCTGCAAGGGAAGAGAGCTTTTAATAGAAACTGATGCAGCTCATATTACTTTATGTGAAGCATGGCGTTTTACCCTGAAACTCGTGCAGTTCATGGTACTTTATGTTAAGCACTCTACTTGAACATTTATAGCGCCCATAGTTGAGCCAAAGTGCTGCTGGAAGAACTTAATATAATCTGAATAGTGCCGAGAGGTAATAGTTTTCACATTAGCCGAGTTATGGGAAGTGGTGATTGGTGGTGAATATTGAGGAAACGATGCTACATTTAGAGCATAAATATGACCTTGATGACTTTACAACGGCATCTCTTAGATGCTCCCCCAGTTCAAGGTTGTTTGTCTTTTCTTTTCTTTTTCCCCCTACAATGCGAGCCCAAAGAAAAACATAGGAGAGAAGGTCCAACAGTTCAACAATGCTATGCAAATGTTAGCTGATGGAGCTCTTGTTAGTCCTTACAAGATATGGTGATACCCTCTGACACGGTGCTCACAGTCTTGCTGATTCTGCATATGCAGTCATGAAAGATGGAATTATCCAAATGAATTGAAGAGTTTTTGGATAGACTACGGATACAGAGTGGTTTTCTGTTGGAAATATTATGCGAATAAAGTGTTCCTGTTAAAAGCAGAAAAGGACATTTCTTGAGGTTAGGTATTTAAACTTAGGAGTGTGCTTCGTGGTTGATTTTATCCTTTGTAGATGAAAAAGCTGGAAACACAAAATATTATTGAGCAGAGTTGAAACGGGCCTTTCTTTTGGTTACACTTGTGCAAAATCAGGACCTAATATGGAAGGGAAACCTGAAGTCGTTCTCCCCCCTGTTTGATTATGAGCTGTCTTTTGCAGAAATTATAAAGATATCTGTTCATTCTGTGGCACAATCTGTATATGGTAGTGCAAGATCTTAGCTACTTTTGATTTGATAGTGAACCAGTAATCAATAGTCTTAACTATTCCCAGTTCTCTTTTGCTACATTAATAAATGATGTGGTTGGTATGCATCTTTCATCTTCAAATTCTGGTACTTTTGAGTGTGTCTAGAAGTACATTTGCAGCTCTTGTTGCCTAAAGTTTGTTGTTTCTCCTGATTTTCTTTCCTTCAAACCTAGATGCTAATTTGATGTTTCTTCAGGTCGACATTACCTTATATTTTATGTCTTTCTTATTGGACAGGATTGGTGAGAAAACCATTGGGCCTCTACTTCTGGTTGCATTTCAAACAAGATACAGAGAAGTCCTCATCAAGTCTCATACTGCAGCATCAATTGTGGCTCCCAAGCACTTGACTCTTCTCACAAAAGAAGAGACTAAACGTGAGAAAACTCTTATAACCTTTTGATTCTTATCCAGAATAACCCCCCTTTTCCCAAATAAAGAAAAAGAAAACAAAATTAAATGTCTTCTGAGTAGTGTCGCTTACACAGTTCATTTGAGAATCTCATTGAAAAAGCTTCTTTGAAGTTCTGGACAACAAAGATGTGATTGAATCGTCGTGCTTAAAAGCTTTCCTCCCAAAAATGTGCTGTTTTTTTCCTGGAAAACAGTCTCACATTGCTTTTACGGGCCAGAAGTTAGGGGCCAGAAGACTTTTGTTCTGTTAAAATAACTTCTTTTAAGAACACCACCAAGCAAACACTTTGAAATGTTTAGCGTCGAAAAAGTATCTGATCCAAATACTTGTAAGATTCATTACTAATTTTCTGGTTTTCATTCATGGCGAAGTGTATGAAGCTGGTCAGTCCTCAACAGCAGCATTTAAGAAGTGGCGAATGGGAGGTCCTAGATTGCAGAAAGCTTCTGTACTTGGAAGAAAGAGGAAGCCAGTTGAATGAGTTTTGGTACTTGAAAAGATATGATCATTCCTACTAAGATGTGAAGATGTAGTATCTATTTGGCTATTCTATGAAATTTACTTCTTTTTTCAAGTGTATTGTAAAATTTCTGATCTGAAGACTAGCTGATGAGGCTAATATATCCATTTTTACTGCTTTAAACTTTATTTTTTATTCATGCTCTTTTCCCCTCAAACGCAGTCAAGAAAATGGAACAACTTTTTCCTTCTTCTTACTAACATAGAAGAAAGGAAACAATATGCAAGGCTACCTGCATTAAAAAGCAGAGTCTCCAATAAACAATTATAAAAGGAAATGAATATACAGTCAAATCTCTCGATAATACTGTCGTTTGTTCCAATATTTTTTGGTTGCTATAGTAAAGTGTTGTTATAAAGGACATATCATCATAACATAAAAATCAGTTCCGATAAAAATTTGGCTTTTATAGTGAATGACTATTATGTAGGAATGCCGTTACAAAGAGGTTTCACTGTAGAAAAATTTGCTTTTATAAAAGCTGCTCAGTCTTAAGTACGAAGATTGTAAAGTAATTTCTTTCGCATCTATCTAAGTTCTATACTTGTGCTAGTAGAAGGTAACAATACTCGATAAAATAATTTAGATGAACGACAAGTTAGACCAACCAGATACCAATCTTCTATCTATATAGAATAGGAGAAGCAAAGTCATATTATTGTGTCAAGTGTCAAAACAAAAATTAAACATGTGTCCAATTTTAGTACAAACCTCCAACTAATTTGGAGGTTCAAAAATAATTTAAAATAGAAATTTAAATATATGCTAATGCAGTTGGACATCTGATTCCCATGTTTCATCTGCGATTTTTTTATTTGTTAAAAGAAGTTTACAAGGTTTAAAACTTTCATGTTTGTTCTGCGCATTTTTTTTTTAAATTTGTTAAAAGAAGTTCACAACGTTTAAAACTTCCACATGTTTGTTGTGCGAGTTTTTCTTTAATTTGTTTACAGAAGTTCACAAGCTTTAAAACTTCCAATTTAGTATACATCTACTTTGACTTCCATGTTTGTTGGTATATTTTTTTTTAATTTGTTAAACCTGAAAATTCAAAAAAAAAAATTTACTTTAATCCACGTCTGGAGTTGACTCCCATGTTTGGATTTCCATTCTCTTTTTGCTTTGGTCAGAATACAGAACTTTACAAATATGGCTACAAAACTTCATGACATAGACAAATTTCAAGCAACGCCATGCAATAAAATTTAAAAGTTAGAGTAGTTCGAATGTGGGAAATACCGGATCGCTACAAGCCTGAAATACCTTATTCGATAGAGTTGGTATTACTAATGCAAAGGTAATATATTTATAATTGCTTTTACTTTTTTCTTCCTCTTCTCTGCTGCTATGGTTCATAAGTTTTTCAAAATTTTCAAATAGATGAAAATTTCTACGTGAAACTATTTGCGTAGTACCCTTATTTCTCTTTCTGTTTCTAACGTTATTTCCCAATTGTTTATTAGTTTCCAGCAATACTCAAAAAGATGAAACTACCTACTTGAAGTGATTATGTGGTTTAGTCTTATTTCTATTTCTGTTTGTGAACATTTGATTGATAATTGTTTACTAATTCCAGCAAAAAAAAAATTATTACCAATATATTACATCTTATATAATCCATCTGAGAAACAAAATATGATGTTCCTCCTGAAACTGCTGCAAATTCTAACAATATGCATATATTTTGCCAAAGGAAGTTACAATGTTTATTGACAATTGTTTAATCTCTATAACTACTGCAAATTCTAAAAATATGCGCATTCTGCCTAAAAAATTTACAATGTTTGTTGACAATTGTTTATTAATTTCCAGCACTAACAATTTATACCAATCTAATACATCCTAACAATTAATATGATTTTCTAGGGTGATCGTATATATGCCTCAATCAGGAAGTATGTTACTAAGTTCTTTAGGAAAAAGATACAGGAACTCGGCTTATATCGCATGACCTACTTTGTTATCGTAGCAAATAATTTGAAATTAAAGACTACGACACACAATTTGAGGCTGACATTTACGGAGAGGACAATAGTTGAGAAAACTACTGATGCTTCAAATTCATGTAAACCACTATTAAATATTTTATTTTTCGTTAATCTTATTATTAATTTCATGTAGCTAAACTAAACTTTAACATTTTATTGTATTTAATTATTTCATATTTTTCTGTTATTTCAGAAGCTGACTTAGCAGAAGATGAATTGAAAAATCGTTGTTTGCAAAAGCTTGATTTTTTTTTAAAAAAGGATGTGGAAGAAATTTTCAGGACTTTCCAACAATGCCAAAGCCTATTTATAATGCGGAAGAAGTTGACAACAATAATCCGGGATGCATTGCGTTATAATAAACGCGCTTTGGCAGAGGAACATCAACAATTAATAAGGAATTTGACAGATGAACAAAAGTCAATTTATGAAAAAATAATAAGAGCTATGAATGAAGACAAAGGTGAATTTTTCTTTTTATATGGCTTTGGAGGAACATGTAAGACTTTTATTTGGAGAACTCTGTCTTCTGCCATAAAATCTAGAGGAGATATTGTGTTAACTATTGCATCTAGCGGGATTGCATCTCTGTTATTATCAGGTGGTCGAATAGCTCATTCAAGATTAGTGATTCCTCTAAATCTAACTGAAGATTCAACATGTAATATCAAGCAAGCTACTCCTTTAGCAAATTTAATTATCAAGGCAAAGTTGATTATTTGGGATGAGGCACCCATGATGCATAGATATTATTTTGAAGCTCTTGATACTTTAAGAGATATTCTTAGATTTAAAGATGCATCCAATTTAGACCGACCATTTGGAGGTAAAACAATTATTCTTGGTAGTGACTTTAGACAAATATTACCTGTCATTCCAAAAGGTACTAGACAAGATATTGTTAATGCATCTCTCAATTCTTCTTATTTGTAGCCTCACTGTCAACTCTTAAAGTTAACAAAGAATGTGAGATTGCAAGGTAATGAAATAGGGACTCATCTGAATGAGTTGAGAGTTTTTTCAGATTGGATTTTGGCAATTGGCGATGGTATGGTTGGTACTTCTGTTGATGGCTATGAAAAAGTCCAAACACCAAATGATCTTTTGATAAAATAATCTGTTGATCCAATATCTGCAATTGTAGAAAGTACGTATCCTGATTTCAATAATCGTTGCAGTAATATAGGATACCTCCGATAAAGAGTCATTCTTGCTCCAACTCTTGATATGGTGGAATCAATCAACGAATATATGATTTCGCTTAATAAAAGTTCTGAGAAATCATATTTGAGTTCTGATACAATCTGCAGCTCTGACCATACTTATTCAACACTGGAACATGTATACACACCAGAATTCTTAAATAATATTAAATGTTTAGGAGTTCCAAATCACGCTCTTACTCTAAAGGTTGGTATTTCAGTGATGTTATTAAGAAATATTCACCACTCGGCAGGATTATGTAATGGAACAAGATTGATCATAACCAAACTTGGAAATCAAGTTATTTAAGCCAAGGTTTTATCAGGACAGATGGTTGGACATAAAGTGTTTATTACAAGAATTATTCTAACTACATCTCATGCTAGAATTCCATTTAAGTTCCAACAAAGATAATTTTCAATCGTTGTATCTTTTGCCAGGACAATCAACAAAGGTCAATGACATTCATTGTCTCACGTAGAATTATTTTTGAAGAAATCTATGTTTACACACGGACAACTATATGTTTCTCTTTTCCGGGTGACAACTAGAAAAGGATTAAAATTTTTGGTTTATGGTGACAATGGACAAATAACTACTCAAGCTACAAATGTAGTATTTAAAGAAGTTTTTCGAAATTTAATCTGACACTCGAAAGATAATCAATATCTTTTTTGAGGTTTAAGTACTACTTTTCTTGCTGAGATTCATGAACCAACTGGGAAATTAGGTGCTGAGATTCTCAATAGCTTACTGCTACGTGTTATATGTTCTACTATATTATTTGATTCTGCTCTTTCTTACTTTAACAACAAAAGTATGATCAAAGTCACCATTCTGTTATAATGCCTTCTCCATTTAGTGCTCGAATTGTTATGTGATCTCACAACTGGGAAAACATAATGACATACGGAATGTAAGTATCTTACTTATTATTATTATTATTATTATTATTATTATTATTATTATTATTATTATTATTATTATTATTATTATTATTATTATTATTATTATTATTATTCTCACTCTTCAAGTAATTGATTTATAAAGTAATATTTCCCTGATATATAGAAGTTTGTCTTCAGTTCCAGCTCAATAGTTCTGAGAGACAAGTGAATTGGCTGTCAGACAAATCAAAGAGTTGAAGAATGTAGGAATTTGTCACGACCCAAAATTCAATTAGTCGTGATGACACCTAACCCAACCTGCTAGGTAAGTCAGTTAACCACTAACCAATTCCAATAACAATTAATAAAATAATTAAGTAAAGAAATATCTGAATCTGATACAATCCCCAAGGACTGGTAGTACAAATCATGAGCTTCTAAGAATAAAGTTTACAAAGGTCGTATGAAGTAAATACATCATCTGTTTGAAAAGTACATAAACAAAGTTTTATTAATCTAAGGCTACCATGAACAAGAGGCAGCTACAACCGAAACGCAGGTACATCTTCAAATCTAGATCCCAACGAACACAACAACATTAGCGGCCAACATCTGCATGCAAGGTGCAGAAGTGTAGTATGAGTACAACCAACCCTATGTACTCAATAAATAACAAGCATAACCTTAGGTTGAAAACAGTGGCGAGCTTGTACTAAGGTCAGAATCCAACTCCAATAACCAACAATAATTCATAACAATATAAAGCAAGTAATGAAAGAATTAACTCAAAGAATAAATACTCAGCTAAATCATGATGTCTGAAAATAGTTCTGCCTTTCAAGTGTATCAGTAAAAATCCCAAGTCGTTTACCGAAGTTGCCAAAAAAAATATAAGTAAGTTTGAAAACAATAATTCTCCAAAAAATCCTTTCAACAATAAATAAAATATTTCATTTTCTTTCCAAATAGCCAGTGAAAAAATGCATCACAATGCCCATAGGCCAATATGTGTGAGAAGTCATGAATTACGTGATACCTAACAATA